GAATCTACACAGCACAACATACACCGGTTAGCATCTACGTGTATCGTTCAGAGACAGCGATTGCATTTTTTATTGAAAGAAACTTTATTTTGAATTAGGTGAAGGTTGACGGGGCAGATCATGGTCTTAGATGCGGCAGCCCATTCACTGCAGGTCCTTGGCGTGCCGGCACGTCCCCACTCCCTGTGCTCCCTAAGTCCATCCTCCCCCTGCCCCGCCCCTCGAAGCATTGTCCTCGGGCCAGGGCTGCCCTCTGGTCACTAATGGTGGGTATTCTAACACAGAGGGGAGTTCAGTTCCACACCTGAAAGGTGAGGGTCATGTCCATAGTCTTGGAGGCCCCATCAGTCCTGTGGGACCGGTAATCTTGTCACTATTGTGAGTTGGGACTCTGATTCCGCAGTTTTCCCCCATGCTGTCTGTGACCTTCCAGTGTCATTCTCTCCAGCGCAGTCGGCAGTGGTAGCCAGGCACCACCTAGGTCTGGGGGTCTCAGGATTACGGAGACTGACGGTGGCATGGCCAGTGCACTGGACTGATTGGGTCCTGCGTCCTTTCCATGTCCATGTCCGAAGGGTTCCGCTTCAGATGGCTGCTGTCTGAGGCTGAGAGTTCTCTCAAGGGGCAAAACCACATTGGGCTGCTAACCGCAAGGTCGGTGGTTTGAAAACACCAGCGGTTCCACGGGAGAAAGAAGAGGCCCAATGCATAACCAGGCCACTACCACCCAACAGGGTCCCAGAAATTCAGAGATGATGAATTCTTTCTTGCATAAAAGGAAAAATAAATCCCTGCCTACCTAGTTGTTCATCTTGATTCGGGCTTGGAAGTTACCCTGTAGGATAGCAAACTCCCAGGGGAAGCTTACTGCCCAGCCTGCCCCGAGGGTCCTTGTCCGTAGGTGGGTGGGCGTGATTCTTCAGCCGTGTAGGGAGCGGCCACGCTTCGGTCAAGACTGGCAACTCGGATCATCTGCACGTTTTGTCCGTGGGGTGTGCCCTGTGGGACATGGCCAGCAACTCCTGGGGACCCTGGAGGGCCGGGTGGAACTTTCCCACCCCATTTTCCAAGGCCGTCTGTCTTTACAGAAGCACGCTGCCTGTGGTGTTCCCTCAGAGCAGCCGGTGGGTTTGCACTGCCCACCGCTCTCTCCATCAACAGCCGAGCGCTTACCTGTTGCATCCCCAGGGCTCCATCGTTCGTCCATCCGCCCATCTGTCCACCTGCTCGCCTGCTGAAACGTTGGCCATCTGTGTCTCTGGGCAAGCAATCGTGCCCAGGTCTTTGTGTGGCGTGGGTTTGAATGGGGTGGACCTGGACTGGAATCAGGGCAGCTGGCCGTGGTTTTTGCCTGTGTGGGCGCTGGCCTCTTTCCTGACACCCTCAGTTGGGGAGATGGTGCAGACTTGAGGGACAGGTCAGCGTTGGCAGGCGTTGAACAGAAGAGACAGTGTGGCGTGGTCAGCAGGTGAGGACCTGCGCAGATGGGTCCTGGCGAGGGAGCCCCCTGCCCACACTGATGTGCACAGGTTCACTGCTCACCACCTGCAGGCCCAGAGCAAGCAGCCTCTCTCTCTCACTTGCCCATCCTAGAGGTCGCTTGGTAGCCAGCACCCAGAGCCCCCACAGAAAACCAAAAAGCCAAACTCCTACCACTGATTCAGTTCTGACTCAGAGCGCCCCGCGAGGCAGGGTGGAACTGCCCCTGTGGGTTTCTGAGACTCTCTCTTTACCGGAGTAGAAAGCCTCATCTTTACCTGTGGAGAGACTGGTTTTGAACTGCCGACCTTGCAGTTGGAGACCCAACCCATAGCCACTGCGCCAGCTTCCCCTCAAGTTACCCCAGTGCTTTGCTTGTTTCCACATGAACATTTCCACTAATTGCAGGGCTTTGAGGAACCACAGGGTCGGCAGTTCAAACCCGCCAGCTGCTCCTCGGGAGAAAGATGAAGCCCTTGGAAACCCACAGGGGCATCTCTCATCTGCCTGATCAGGTCACAGGAAGCAGAATGGACGCATGGCAGGAGCGTTTGCCCATGGGTCTCTTAAGACTAGTTGTAGAGAAATGAAAAACACACACAACAAACCACCTTCTGGTCAAAGAGGGGGAGATGCGGGTCGTTCTTGTGGAAGGCTGGGACCAGTTTCCCGGGGAACAGGCAGCTGGAGCCAGGTGCTCTGGTTTCCTCAAGCTGAGACTGAAAGGCTGCTGTTCTTTAAAAAAAAAGTGTGTGTTCAGTGAACGTTTACATGGCAAATTTGGATTCCAGGTGGCGCTTACAAGCTGCTGGGCAGTGAGCAGGCTGATGGTCCTCGTGAAGGCCAGGACCCCGTTTGTGTGGGGGAGTGGGGGACGGATGTCATTGGTGCCCTGAAGAAGGACTCCCAGGCAGGGTGCGTTTTGTCAGCCTCCCGAGGCCCTCCGCGTTCAGTGGGATTCCTCATGGTCTGGCTGCCCCCCAGGCATGGGACCTCAGCCTTCACACAGTCAGGTTATAGGTAGCCACCCTCACCCGTCCACGGAGGCCTGGTCCAGCCTCAGGAAGCTGAGGCCGAGCTGGGGCGGGAGGGCCAGCGGGATGGAGGCGAGGACCGCTCAGGTTGCTGTGGGTGATGTGAGCAGCGCTCAGGGAGGGCTGGTTTGGGCCCTTCATTAGCCAGTCCCTGGTGGGTGGGTGGATGGAGAAGGGTTGGTTTTGACCTTTACTTAGCTAGCCCCTGGTGGGTGGGTGGGCCGAGAGCTTGCCAATGATCAAGAAAGGATTGTTTCCTAGCTGAAGACGGATGGCCCGCGGAATTTCTAAAGTGACAGAAGGTGCTGTCTCAGCTCTTGGGAGAATCCCGTTCCTTAGCCTAGCAGGGGGTACGTGGGGGCATGACTGGTCTTCTTCCCAGAGAGCA